TGTGGTGCTTGGAACAATGCAAAATGTTTAACATAATGATAGAAGAAGTTGGAGGCCAAACACAATTAGGATCCAATATAGGTAACAAAGTGTGGAGCTGGAGGAACACAGCAGGCCAGGCAGCACCAGAGGAACAGGAAAGCTGATGTTTTGGGTCGGGACCCTTCTTCAGAAATGGGGACGGGGAGGGCAGCTCAGAAATAAATAGCGAGGAGGGGTGGGGCTGGGGAAGGTAGGTGGTATGGTGATAGATGAGTGCAGGTAGGGAATGATGGGGATTGGTCAGTGAGGTGGGAGGAGCAGATAGGTGGGACAGAAGATGGACAGGTTGTGTCAGGTCAAGGAGGTGGGGTTGAGAGGGAGGACTGGCCATGGGATTGAGGCCAGGGGTGGGGAGATTTTGAAACTGATAAATCCACATTTAGACCATCGGGCTGTGGGCTCCCAAGGCAGAATATGAGGTGCTGCTCCTCCAGTTTGTGGGTGGCGTCATTGTGACCCTGGAGAAGGCCCAGGTCGGACATGTCACCCAGGGAGTTGGAGGGGGACCAGAAAGTGCTGTTGTTTGTCACGTACAGAGTGCAGATGCTCTAGAAAATGGTCTCCATGTCTCCGCTTGGTCTCACCGATGTAGAAGAGGCCACATCGGGATCAGTGGATGCAGTAGACCACATTAGCAGATGTGCAGGTGAACATCCACCTGATGTCAAAGGTTTGTTTTTTGCCTTGAATGGAGGTGAGAGGGGAGGTGTAGGGTCAGGTATAGCACTTCCTGCGATTGCAGGGAAAGGTGTTGGGGTTAGTGGGGTTAGTGGGGAGTATGGAGCGGACAAGAGTGTCGCGGAGAGAACAGTCTCTATGAAAGGCAGATGGGGTGGGGAGGGAAATATACAGAATCCAATATTATCTTTAAATTCAACATCCATTTTCTCCAAAATTTATTTTATTATGTGTAAGATATATATAAAACTCTTCCCCTTATTTTGCACAATTCTTAAATCCTCCAGTGCGTGTTCAACAAGTAACTAAATGCCTTCCACCATCTAATTATACATTCTTCAGATGTGAGAAGACACACAGGAAATTCAAAATTCTGGAACTTGTGTGGAAGTTCCAAATGCTGTTGTAAACCTAACGCCATTTTATTTGATATAACCTGCACACCTCAATAGAGATTTTCTTTTAAAAAAAGACAACACAGGCATTAATTATTCTCTCACAACCAGAGTGGCACCAAGAGAACAAAAATGGCCAGTAGTACTTGGAAAAATCACAGCAATTTTATCATTAATGTTTGCACATTGCACAGCAACAAACAAAAGCACATATGAATTTATGATATCCATTTCCATGAATGTTTTAATTGATATCAAATGCTTTATTTCTGATGAAAAGAGCTCATCATAATTGCTCTGAAATTATACTGCAGGATAATTCTATGGAAATGACTCACATCAACTGCTGAAATTCCTTTTCTGCTTTAACATAGATGTTAACCAGTATGTTTTTAACAAAAAGAGATTTCAATCGTTATTGGGACAGCAAACAAAGGAACTTCATACAAATATCAACAGTCTTCCCCGTGATGCTTGCTACCTAGAGACAAGCTTGAGCAACAGCTCTTCAAACCCCACCACAGGCCAGGCAAGGAGGCTCATCCCAAATCCTCTCTATCCAAGAACAGGGATGAGCCCATGGCACTAGCACCAATCTGGTCTAAGTGCACTTTTTTACATAGGCCATAACCTACCTTAACATTGAGATTCAAATTAATTTCAGAACATATCTCTTACTCTTACTGCACACCATTGTGATACATTGGAAGGATTTACACATTATGAACTTTATAAGTCCTGGAATGGGATGTGAACCCAGAACTTCTGGGTTAGAGGCAGTGACGCTAATCACTGTGCCACAAGATCTTCCTTATGAGTACAGATATAATTTAGTATAACTTAAAGCCCTACGTAACTCAAGAACGTGAAATTCAACCACAATCAGTTTGCACAGCTGGAACAGTGGATAGAAATCTGTTATGAATCGGCTCAAATCTTGTTGCCATTGGATTTTGTCCCATCTTTACTGCCCCAGCCATTAAATGAGTAGCAGCTCAATGTAATGTACTAACCTTTATTCACTGAAGTATTTATCTACAGCCAGAGCAGGTTTTAATTTTGATCTGACAGAATTTCAACCAACATCTGTTATTCCACAGAAACCTTATCAAAGATTTCTGAAAGCACTAACTAGCAAGTTGACACATCACCCACAGTGAACACATGCATCTTTCCTTTTTATATGAACAAAAAACACACAGAGCAACATAATGCTGAAAAACCTAATTAGACAGCAAACGGAAAGTGTAAATGATGAAATCATTTATCAAAAAGCTGTCATCCTATTCCTGAAACCAGACTGAAAATAAAATGATAGTTACCACACATTCTTTCTAAGCTATTTATAGCAAGTTGATGTCATTTTCTGTCAAATAAATTCACATACATATAACATGAAAATGAAAACATGGAATACGACATTTAGCTCTTCATCTGACAGACAAGTGAATTTCTAACCAATTTTTACTAAGAATTCAATTTGCACAATTAAAAGTCAGAGAAACAAGAATCTTGATTTCAAAGAACGTACGTGTTCAAGTTTATTTGGATTGTTGAACGTGAAGTTCGGAACTGATGGGCTCAATTAACTTCAACACTATTTAATTGCTAAGGATTGTTTCTGAAATATCATCGAAAATAAATCCTAGCAACCGCCTTTGACAGTAAATCCTATATGCATTTCCTATCCTGTACATGATAAAGAATATGATTCCACATAATACAAATGCAGAACTTTCCCTGAGCTTGGTTAATCCAAAACAGTGAGAAGAAGTGATTGTATTTCAGTGCAACAAAGCATTTTCAATCCTCATCAAGATAAACATCCAGACTTGGAAACATCTAGATTTTAATCATCCTTTACTGCAATTTAAAATAAAACCCATGTCACCATTAGAGTACAGATACGCTAAGAGATTTGTCCTGTGCATACATTAACAATCAAGATAAATTAACACAGAGAAACCAAAGCTCATGTGGATGAAAATGAGTCTCCTTTGTCATTATCATTCCTTTGTTTCATTATCAGCCAACAAATAATGGACTTCACGGTTCAGCTATGATACCACAATAACAGATCAACAATCTTACATAAAAATAAATTAAAGAGAGACATCTTATTTAATATAAAGTGAAAATAAAAACAGAACTCTACCTTTACTTCTACCTACAGAAATGAAGATTGGATCCAAGTAAGCATGAATTCCATCATTGAGGGGCAATGAAGAAGGGGGAAGGATAACAGATTAGGAACACTTGAACACACCACACACTATCAAAACAGCAACAAAAAACTTAGACACTGAATTGTTGCAGCATTCTGCAGTAATGCACTAAATTAGTTTAAGATTATACACACGCAGAAACAAAAAATCACACTGTAAAATAAAACATACAATTGCGTGCAATGGCAAATCCAGAACGCAAAGAAAAATAAAAATCTTCCAGACCTACAAATGCAACTCTGGGCATCAATGCTTACCAACATGAAACTGTACTATATGCATTATTTTGGTCCATTGATAGCCCAGCTTGATTAGTCACTGTTAGATTTTCCGATGGCTCTTCAGGGCATGCAATACCAATATTGTAAAAGAGTATGTATCTGTGTGTATTCACATAACGTGCTTTATGGCCACGAAAAGTGTGAGTAGCATCACATTAAGAAGCATTCTGAATGTCAGCATTCACCCCATGATTGCAGTCATGCTTTGAGTGAGCCATCTAAATGATCCACTCAGTATTCAACATAACCATTGAAATGATTGCATTCGTAAAAAGGCCTAAGAAATGGCTCTCAGTTAGGAAACAGGAATTCACCTGCTGCATTGCTATTTAATAAACTGGCAGCGGGAGGAAAAAAGCAAGTTAGTAGAAAGAGAAAGAGAGAAAAAAGGGTAGCGTACCTTGCTCGCCCATCGTCAGATGCGAGAAACCTTTGAAGAGGAAGAAAGACAGTCAAAAGAGAATAAACAGAGAGTTTCATACAATACCAGTTGGTATTGTGATGTTCCATACTTATGGCTAAGTATGGCATCAATCATATTGAGAAACCTTTCTAACATAAGCATAAAAGCTTGGCTCACAAAAGAGCAAAGTAAGAGTACCATAGATCTCACTGCATCAGTCAACATAGTGTTTAAGCTGACCTCAGTTTCTGGAGCTATTTTGAGGCTTCAAACGATGACTTACATGTTAAAATCTATGGAAATTCAAATGAGTAATCTTTTGTCCTTGAAAATATCTAACTATCATGGAAACTGCTCATTTTATATCAGTTTTCTGTACACTAAATAGTTAAAGCTGTATGCAAATTTTTCTCTTTAATATTTTCTTCCTTGTTCAAATAATACTTTTTTACATCTAAGCATTACAGTTAGTTTTCTTATATAATCATTATTTATTATCAAGCAAGTTAAGGGCTCAACAATGAGTGTGTCAGTGAATTATTTTGCTGCAGGGATTTAAACATGCAATTGATTTACAGTAAAGGCATTCGGCCTAGTAACATAACCATTTTGTTCCTTTAGCAATGAAAATGCAGCATGCACTAATTCCCATTATGATAACGGACAGAATAATTACAATGGAATGGAAAGTTATTTCTGAATTAAGGTCAGTTACTTACAGTAAAATAGATAAAACAACATAATCTACTATTTGTAAAGATGGGGCAGAGGAGGAAGAACAAAGGTGGTGAATTAATTAAGTCAAATACTCATTCCATAAATTGTTTTTCTGAGAATATAGGGTAATTCCTATATAAAGTCTACAATATAGATTACCGGCAAACTCAAAAGCAATTTCCTACCTAATGAGATTAATTTTAGTCATTAGGTATTAAAAAAGTGTCATTCAGTAGGTTTTGAGTTAACTAGTAAGTTAATAACTTTCTCCCTTAACACTTCATTGAGGTTTAGTACTAATCCATGGTATCTAGTCATAGTATTTAAGCCTTTCCAATTTCATATTTACCTATTCTCCATGCATAAGATCTGGTATTTCCTTAAACCTCTATTGTTCTTTTTCATGAGCGAGTCCTACACCTCGATGAATTTCACTTTATCAAATAACTTGAGATGTATAAAGCCAAAAAAAGGATTGGGTCCTCAAATATGTGTTTTTTTTTGTTTGTCTCAAACTTAGTTTTTCACAAGTTTTTTTTTCTTGCAAGCCACAAGATCAGATACAGCCTGTAAATTAGTCATTGATTAAACTCAGTTCACCCAATGGAGGGAGAACTCACCTGGCACACGGTTGACTTCTGACAGCAGAAATTGCAAAGAAGGAGAGAATCAGATGTTAGACACACTAAATGCACTTGTCTTTGCATGGAACTGTTTCATGCACAAGAACAAAAGTACCATGCTCATAACATGCAAGTGATTAAACACTGTGCATGTGTGAATTTAACAAAAAAAAAATTTTGTCATCTGTCCTGGCAGCTTGAATCAGATCATTTTGCTTTACATCAAGAAAGCTACTCAGCTTTAAGTAAGAATATTTTAAAATATTCTTTATGCACTGTACTGACTGAAGTTCTTTATTCCCTACAAAAGGAGTCTCCCGTAAATTTTTTGCATGTCAAACATGCTCCTCCAAAAAGGATGAAAAAATTTACTACCATTTGTAGAACTAACAGTACCAAGATACTATAGGAACAGTTGGTAGTTTGCTAAGTCACCTTCATTGCAGACACAGTAAGTTAGTTATTTGAAATGGTACATATTTGTCATTTTAAAATGATACCATATTTTCCATAGCACATCACACAAGAAAACAGCTCATTTTCATTTAACAACTTCTCCTATTTACTAAAATTTTGTTTACTTTTCCTAACGTAAGGTTTTCCAAGCTACTGCTAAAAAGTACAGATAATACATTTATTTCAAATGTGCTGTTGCACTGTCTTGAAGATCCTTACGATGTTTCAATAGAGGGTGTTGTCTTGAAAATGAGAATGAAAGGTCTTCATAGTGAAGAAAAAAAATGTGCGTATTGATGAAAAAACGAGACATGCCATTGAAGCTTTTTATCTTGCACTGATCAGGATAGAATTGCAAGAATACCAATTTAAAAGGGAACAATAACTGAAACTGCATAGATAGAGGGTGCAAGAGGACTCTGACTGGTAGAAGCATTGCCATGGAGAATGCACTAGCAGGATTGCCAACCTGCATAACGCTTGCCAAGATCAACATGGGTAGAGAAATGGGCACAAATGTCACAATGCAATTGCAGAGAACAATCTAGAGATGGTTCACTTGGCTCATACCAAGTATGTCTTACTAGAAGAGGTTCAGTAGGTTGGGCCTGTAGTCGTTAAAATTTATAAGGACAGGCTACCTTAATGAAACATTTTGACGGGGTAGGTCTGTCCCTTGTAGGACATTCAACTGGCCAACCAAGATAAATGTTGGTACATAATTTCAAATTTCAGCACCAACAGAAAAGTATACAGAGTTCAGCTTATCATTCACCACTTTTTGAACGAAGCTCCAGACATGACTTTAAAAATGGCATAATAGACTTTTCCATTCAGTCATCTAACTGTGGGACAGTCTAGGACCAAGGGGATCCATCTCAGAACAAGGGATTACCCATTTAGGAAAAGATGAGGAGAAAGTTCTTCCCTCAGTGGGTAGTGAATCTGTGAATTTTTTACCACAGACGACTGTCAAAACTGGTTTGTTAAATGTATTCAAGGCAAAGACATAGAAGTGGAGTTCAGGATTATTAGATCAGCTGTTGAACGATGAAGCGGGTACGATAGACTGAATGAGATACTTCTGTTCCTACATCTTACGGTCTTATTTTCACCAAAATATAAATGTTATGCTGAATACAACAGTGTCAATCAAATTAAAGGATGGGGAATGAGAGGGTGGAATACCCTGCTTCCATCTCCAACTCCATTTTGATTTAGTCACCTCCCTGTCTCTATCTTTCGCTCATGTTCATTGTCATTGCATCAGCCTTGACAGGTTTTGCATGTAAATTAATAATTTTGTTAGAAACATGAGAGTGTTGGAGGACAAAGGAGAAAGAAAAATAACAGAGATAGTAGGAACTGCAGATGCTGGAGAACCTGAGATAACAAGGTGTAGAGCTGGATGAACACAGCAGGCCAAGCAGCATTTTGTGGTGGAAAGAAAACTGTTCAGTGCTGTGCTAAAGCATCTTTGGATGTAAAGTAATAAAAGAAAATATTAAAACAGCTGAGTTCTTCATATATATAATATATGTAGGCTGTGGGTGGTTGCACTCCATTTGATTAGTTTTAAAACAAAATCTTTCAGTTGTTCTTTCGGTTGTATTTCAGCTCCGCAGTTCTGATCTTTGGGCACTTAGTGCAGAGGGGTTGGGCAATTCAGAGGGCTTCTTCACAGGCCTGCTCCTGGGCCTCGCCAAGGTAGACATCCTCAGATCCAGGCAATGGGCCTGGGGTGGGGAAGGGGTCATGGGTCCCTACCCAAAATGTCAACTTTCCTGCTCCTCTGATGTTTCCTGGCCTGCTGCGTTTCTCCAGCTCCACGCTGTGTTAATTCATATTTCCCAACTGCCTTCTCTCCTGCAGCTACATTCGTGCCCAGGTGCCCTTGGAGCGGCAACACTCAGTGTCCACCAATACCCTTAACGGAAGCGGTGGGTAGTGCGGGGCTTAAATCATTTCCTCTTACATCTCCATTTTAATTTAGTTTCCTCCCTCTCTCCCTACCATCTCCTATTTTTGTTGTTTGCATTCTGCCCCTGTTGGGCAGTGTTTTTAATGTATTAGTTCCTTAATTATTTAAATTAGTTAATTATTTGGAGCGGCTTCTAAAACAATGAACCGAATTCTCCAGCACCCTTGATGCTTTTAGAGAGAGAGGCACTGTGGGGGCTGGAAAGCATTATCTCCCCAACTTTCCCTGATTCACCACTATTTTAGAATCATAGAGATGTGCAGCATGGAAACAGACCCTTTGGTCCAACTTGTACATTTTGACCTGCCAGCATTTGGCTGATATCCCTCTAAACCCTTCCTATTCATGTATCCATCCGGATGCCTTTTAAATGTTGTAATTGTACCAGCCTCTACAACTTCCTCTGGCAGCTCATTCCATACATGCACCACTCTCTGCATGAAAAAGTTGCCCCTTTAGTCCCTTTTACATCTTTCCCCTCTCACCTTAAGTCTATGCCCTCTGGTTTTGGACTCCCCTACCCTGGGGTAAAGACCTTGGCTATTCACCCTTTCAATGCCCCTCATGATTTTATAAACCTGTATAACGTCACCCCTCAGCCTCCTATGATCAGAGGAAGATAGCCCCAGTCTATTCAGCCTCTCACTATAGCTCAAACCCTCCAACCCTGGCAACATCCTTGTAAATCTTTTCTAAGCCCTTTCAAGTTTAACGGCATCTATCCTATAGCAGGGAGACCAGAACTGAATGCAGTATTCCAAAAATGACCTAACTAATGTCCTGTACAGCCACAACACAACCTCCCAAATCCTATTCTCAGTGCACTGACGATTTAGTTCCTCCTCTGTCTCCCCACCTGTTTTGTTTATCTTTTGCCAATGTGATACAGACTGTGGTGGGCAACAATTGTTAATTGTTCTGTCTTTAGTTAGCTTATTAGAGGGCTCTTGTGGCACAGTGATAATATACCTATCTTTGAGCAAGGGGGCCTGGGTTTAAATCCCACCTTTCCAGAGGTATGTAAGAGCATCGCTGATCAAGTTGATTAGAAAATAGATTAAATTAATTTTTAAAAAACTAGTTAATTGACTTGCTGGTGAGCTCTCCAAACAGGTGAGCTCTCCATATTCCTGGATGAATCATCAGCAGATATAACACAGTGGGGGAGCAGGATGAACACAGCAGGCCAAGCAGCATCAGAGGAGCAGGAAAGTTGACGTTTCAGGTCAGGACCCTTCTTCAGACCCTTTCAGGAGTCTAATAACAGCAGGGAAGGAACTGTTCTTGAATCCTTTGGTACCTGTGTGTAAGGTTTCGTATCTTTAGCTTGACAGATGTGGTTGGAAGAGATTTTGACCAGGATGGGAGGGGTTTTTTTGATTATGTTGGCTGCCTTCCTGAGGCAGTGAGAAGTATAGATGGCAAAGGTGTGGATGATGCAGAACCATAACAGTAGATTGCAAAATCAATTTGCATCGAGGCCAGCACTAAGAATACAGCCCTGAAATCATTTCAATGAATATTGTAAATTGGCAGTGAAAACATGGATCATCGTATTTAGTTCCTGGGCCATTGGCAAACTCTCTAAACTCTGATGCAACAGCAAATACTGTTGTTGACAAGCAATACAATCTGCAAGGCTTGATCTGCAATAATGTTAACCTTTAAGGATCAAAGATTGCAATGCAATCAGTGTTTAATCAGGAAACCTTCAAGAGTTTACTACTGCAAAATAAGATGTCCAGAACAATTTGTGCTAATGTATTACAAATTTATATATTTAAATTGAGGTTGTTGGTGTCAATTCAAATGCAAATATAACTTGATTGAGGTGCTTGTATAACATTCAATAAATTGCAAACCAAGTACACCAGATGTGAAGTGCAGGAACACACTAAATACAATGACTGCAATATTAAAAACAGAAGAACTGATTAGTTTTGAATTTGCTTTAAGTCACTGATTTAAACAGAAATCCTTTTAAATCTACAAATGGACTAATGTTCCCCCATGTAATCTGTAAATACATCTGGCAAAATGCAGGCCAATGCATCTGTGAGCTTGGAATGAATCCACCTAGACTTTCAACAGCTCCTCCTCCCATTAAAAATGAATAGACAACATCGACCTACTCCCAGAGGCTGGAGTCTCTCTCCAAAGTCCAATCTCCTCATTCTAACGAAGGAAATCCTCATCATTAGGAGTGATGTGACAACTGCAGTTTTGAGATTTGGATTCACTTGGACCATCAGGATACCAATCACTTGTTAAAAAGGCATATATCTGGACTCCTCACAGGACAACTGTTCCATTTCCTGGTCCCACTCAACTAAATTTTAAGTAATTAGCCACAGTCCACAAAGGACCCTTGAGCATCTTGCTCCAATAAAGAGATTAATTGGTTACGCATAGCTTAAAAAAAAAGGCCCTTTCATAGACCATAAGATATAGGAGCAGAATTAGGCCACTCAGCCCATTGAATCTGCTCAATCATTCGATCATGGCTGGTGTGTTTCTCAACCTCATTCTCCTACCTTCTACCTGTAACCCTTTACCTATCTATCTCTGGCTTAAACAC